AAGGCTGAAATTTTGGGAAGTTAATTTACATGCATGTACGGGTTCCTACTTCTAAAATGGACACTCCTGCCCGCGTGGTTCCCAAGTACGGGCCCGTAAAAATTTTTTCCAGGCAACTTGCTAGATCGGGAACCAGGGAAGCCAGAAAGCAGAAATTATAAGGCAGTGTTTTCTGGTAGTCCTGTTGGCCAGTCTCAATTCTTTTAGCTAGAAGCAACTACCGGAAAAAACAGTGCCGCCGGCGACTAAAGCCTGCTGGGAACTATGCAAAAAACACATTTTCGCACCGGCAGCCAGTGCGCTAGCCAATTATTTCTTTTTCGCCGAGTCAGCGAAATGTAACTTGTGCTAAAGTTATATATATATTTAGAAATATACAGACATGCTCATATATTATACAACATACACACCAGTAAAAACATACACGCACATACATATATACACACGCACGCACATTCATATACATATATGCAGAAACAAGCACACAAGCACTAGCGCATGCACAAATTTACATTCAGATGCTTACATACAAGCATGCAGACGTAATACTGTTGTTCTTAATGAGACATTAGACTTTAGTAAACAGGACATTCTTTGGTTGTGGTTGGATACCTCGAAGTTTGATTGACCGGTTTTTAAGCGAACAAATCTGTGAACGACGCATGTTGCATTGTTTCTCGGAGCTATTCTTTGTCATTTCGTCAATCAGGCGGTCAGCAAAGGAGACTACTGCGGTTCACGTTTTGTGGGTTTTTGCATCTGTGCAATGCAAAAACGCATACTGCCGAGGGGTTGTCTCTGTGTGTGTGTGTGTGTCTATGTACACCTATGTGTGCGTCTGTAACGAATTTTCATTTCCAGTCCTACTAAATCAAGAAGGCTGAAACTTCGTGGGATTAATTTACACGCATGTTCGGGCCTCTATCCGCAACACGGACGCTCTTGCCCACGAAGTTCCTATGCACGGCCCATGAAAATTTTTGGCGGATAACTCGGTAACTCAGAAACCAGGGAACCCAGAAAGCTGAAATTTTAAGGGAATGTTGTCCGTCCACATAGGACTTAGTGAGCTCAAATCCAGCTCCCAATTGTGCGTGGTCTCCATGTGCGGACCCGCAAAAATTTTTGGTTGTTAATTCGGGGACGAGAAAAGTTAGAAAGCTGAAATTTTAAAAAGGTATTTTCTAACAGGCATGATATCCAGTCTTATTTCCTTTAGCTAGAAGCATCTACCGGAAAAACAGCGCCACTAGCGACAAAAGCCTGTGGTGAACTGTTCAAAAAACGAATCGTCACACCGACAGCCGGTGCACTGCCCAATTATTTTGTTTTGAAAGTATTTATGTAGAAGCATTTTCAAGCAGCTTGGAGACATGTCATTGTCTGTATCTTTGCACTTCGTGATTCGACAGGGCTGGCCCGAATGTGGACCCCGTCTTTCCAAGATTTACATTCTCCACTCATCAAAAAGTTTCTCGTAACGGTATTAGGACTTCTGGAAGGCACTAATAGTTCCTCTTCTCTCTTCGAAATGTAGTGACTGTAAAAAGCAGTAGGAACTGTCGGCTTTGCTGGTAGGGTCAAACACCTTGCTTTTTGGATGTTCGGTGACTGCGGTATCTTAACATCACTTTGCGCAGTCTGTTTTCACAATATTCCAGGCCTGTGAATCACTTACATATATAAATAGCTTTTGCAGAGTGCAGAGCGGATTATAAGCTGTCTACGTACACGCATTCATGTTACAAGGTTTTTCTTTTGAATTTTTTCCACATAGGCATACCTTTATTTCGTAGGCCCCAAACGAGTTTCTGAAGCTATTTGCGCTCAAATGAGCATTAGCTGACCAGTATTCATGAAAGCAACAAATTGATCAATCGCTTTCATTTGTTCATGGAAGTACATGAAAAGGCAACAAAGAAAACTCCACGTAATTCGTTTTTCGTGAGAAATGAAGTTACCCTCGAAACTAATCAAGACTAACAGCATTTTACCAAACATTATCTATCATTCGCTAGCAAGGTTGCTGTCCAGTCACACGACAGTTCTGCCGATATACCACAAACTAGTCAATGTACAATAAGTTTTCCTCGTTCGCCACGTGACAACTAATAAATTTGGTATGACAAAAAAAGAGCTGCACCTTAGCAAAAGATGTGTAAAAGTAAGAGTGGGGGGCTAGCGAGATGCGCCGAACGGACCAAGTTTTGGATTTTTTTTCTGTGTCTGCATATGCAAAAGGATGATGATCGGTAAATTCAGAG